GAAGGATTGACTGGGACGCTCCATGCCCCCTCCATTCCCTGCAATGCATGGCCTGGGAGAGCTTTCAGGATGAGCACTTACCCCTCCTGGAGCATGAGTGCGCATACCACGCCAGTCTTGAGCGATGGACTGGCGAAAGTCGCACCAGTTCGCCGGTGAGGCCTAAGGAGGAGGTTGTGTTGGGGGAAGAACTGGGTTCAAGTCCACCTCGCCCCTCCGACCGTGCAACTTCCCGGAGAACCCGTAGGCGACCTGGAGTAGCTCGATCGGCTTCAGGATCTCCATCCCCATCTAGGTGATGCCGGTTGGGGTTCTGGAAGAAGCGAGCCGCCCTCCGTCCTTCCCTGATATTTGAAGGACGGTGGGGTTTTGCCGAGGCTGGGGGCGACCGACCCTGTTCCGCGTCGGGGAAGAAAGGTGGTCGTCCCGGACGGCCGGTGATCGGAGTTCCGCCGGCCCATGGAGCTGCAAAACTACCCTTCAAACCTGCCTGTCCCCCCTAGGCCTTTTGCTCGCAAAACTTTAGATTGTCCCTTTTGTTGTAGGAAAAGTATGGAAAAGTATCCCTCCCTTATGTAGAGATTGTTCTCAAACGTATTGTAGCAGATGCAAAAGATTATCCTTGGAATGTAACAAACACTTTTGCGAATGTATTTTGATGTTACCCGTTTACTTACAAGTTCCATCTTCTTCTCTTTAGTATCCCACTTTAGACGTTCAGGTTTCCTCTGACTTAAGTCAGAGAACACCTCGCCTTTTTTTTTTTTGACTTAGCCATTTCCGGGTTATTTTACCCTCCTTCAGCATCGTCATATCTCCCAGACCCCCTGGTCGCTCATGCGACCAATGGGCCTTTACGTTCCAGACTTAGCCGCTTTCCTGGGCTCTCATGCCTCGGCGTCGTCTTCAACCTCGGTCGCTTATCAGGGTTCGACGCTTCCCCCACGACTGGGTATCTTAACACGAATCACCATGCAGTTTGGGCTTAGCAATCTTTTTTGGTCGCTCCTTTTTTTTTTGCCAAAATGCTGATTTTATTAAATTTCAAGATAGAAGCATAGCTAGGATACAATCTACTGATAGAATTTAACAAGGTTGGCGGCATTCCACACTCGAGGAACGTCGCCGCCGGCTGGAGTCTGCAATCTAAACGTCCCATCAGCCAACACCTCCTTTATGATGTATGGTCCCTCGAAGCTTTTAGCAAACTTCCCTCCATCGGTCGGTCGGCTGACTTCCCTTTTCCGAAGGACCCAGTCGCCCACCTGGAACTTCCTTGGTCGTACCCGCTGGTCGTGATATGACTTGACCTGTCGGCGGTAATTTTTTGCTCGCATGTATGCCCTTTCCCTTCGCTCATCAACGAGGTGCAGTTCTGCCCTCAAGTTCTCCTCATTCTCTTGTGCATCAAACGTCTCCACTCTATAGCTCAACAATGAGGTCTCTGCTGGAGCCCTTGCTTCAAATCCATATGTGAGCGAGAAAGGAGTTTCACCTGTGGCCTTCCTTGGGGTAGTCCTGTAGGTC